ATACTCCGTGCATACGCACGCGAACCGTCCGTGCGCACAGAACACCACGGGCAGTCTCAACTTGACGTGATACGATAATTGCGAAAATTCTTAACCTAATAAATAATTCTCTCTTAAAAAAACAGTACAATCATGTAAAATCCAATAGTCAGTGAAAAATAATTGATTGAAGAGAATTTAGCGTGTGGATTTTGGTCTTGACCATCAAAAACACTTCGATTGGATCTCTGAAACGGGAATGGGAGTATCAGATACATTGAATTATGTTCTGTTTTCTAATCCCGTCAGCTCGAGTGCCGGTTCGTTTACGAAAACTGCTGCATCAGCTGTAAGTCGCTGTTATTTTTTAATAAAAAATAAGAGGAATCAATTTATTTATTGTTATTGCCTGATTTTTGGCGACTGAGTAATGCTTCTATAGTTTATTCTATTTTTGAAACTTTGAGGTCATGTAGATACCACACATCCCATAAACCAAGGCCATATTTTACATTTATTCCTGCTGTTTTAAATTATCATTTTTTAAATAGTCCCACCAGTGCCGAACAGCTGCAGAGTGGGGATGACATGGAGATGAGGGGAAGGTGATAGTGACCGCCGCGCTGTCTCGTGCCGCCTGAGAGAACTTGTCCCCTGTTTTTGGGAGTGACAACACCTGCTTGTATCATACCGTATATTACTGCAACAAGTTATTCGCTCTAACCTCTTTCCAATATTATTTACGTTTCGACAGGAAAAAGTCAAATAACCCTAAAAATATTAGATAAATACAATAAATTGTATCGGCGAACATTGAAAATATTAGAAATGGAACAAAGTGATGAAAACGCTGAAACATTGCAAGGCTCAGAGTCTCTGAATGTTTCGGAAATGAAAGAGAGTAATAAAAGTGAATCAGTGGTTAAAGAGTCAGTTCCTGAAGCATTCAAGAAGCCAACGTTGATGATCGGTCCTCGACGAGGGAAAATTTCAGGAATTCGTTCTCTACCTAATGTTCCAGTACATGTTCCATGTGAAGATTCACAAGACAACCAGAAGGAGAAGAATGAGACAGATGATATCGAACCTGAAAAGACTGCACCAGCTGAAGAGAAAAAGCCCTTGCCTCTAGCTTATAACGAACCCTCCTGGTCTGGTCGTCCTCCATCAGGATATAAAGCCGAAGTGCTCAAGTCTGGAGTTATTTTGAATACAATTGAGCTGTCAAAGCAGAGCTTTTTCGTCGTTGGAAGACTCCCAGTCTGCGATATACATCTTCAGCATCCAACAATTTCCAGGTATCACGCTATCCTTCAGTTCAGGGAGACTGGGGATGCGAAGAATGGACCCGGATTTTATTTGTATGATCTGGAGAGCACACACGGAACCTTCTGGAATAACTGTCGAATCAGACCGAAGACTTATGTAAAGTTGAAGGGTGGGCATATGATCAAGTTTGGATGCAGTCAGAGAAAATTTATTTTGTTGAGTCCACCCGATGATGAAGAGGAGGAGTCGGAGTATTCGGTGACAGAATTGAGGGTAAGTTTCCTTGAATTAATTGATTAGGCCTTTTGAAAAAAAAAGTTGGCAATGGTTTCTTCTTTTTACTTTATCCAATTAGTACCTGTGGCATGATAATGATAATTTATTGTCTATTTTTACAGGAACAAAGAAAGCTTGAATTGATGGAATTAGAGAAATTGGAACAAGAGCGCCAGGAAGAGGAGTCAGAGTTGGAGAGAATAAGAAAAGAGAAGGAAGAGTCTGAAGGTGTAGACTGGGGAATGGGTGAGGATGCCGATGAAGAGACTGACTTGACAGAAAACCCTTATGCTCAATCAAACAACGAAGAATTATTCCTGGACGATCCCAAGAAGACCCTGCGGGGATGGTTCGAGAGAGAGGGACATGATCTTCAGTATCAGACTGAGGAGAAAGGACTGGGTCAATTCCTCTGTTGGGTGGATCTGCCTATTGATAATGGACGAACTGCTAGAGCCGAGGCTCTGGTGAAGGGTAAGAAAAAAGAGTCTGTGATTCAGTGTGCCCTAGAAGCCTGTAGGATCCTTGACAGACATGGCTTGCTGAGACAGGCCAACCACGAGGGTAGGAAACGGAAGTCACGAAATTGGGAGGAGGAGGACTACTACGACTCGGACGAGGATAACTTCCTCGACAGGACTGGAACTGTCGAGAGAAAACGTGAGCAGAGGATGAGAAATGCTGGCAAACTCGATGCCAAAGTTGAAACTTACTCGTCGTTGATCGAGAAGCATGAGGATGTACAGAGGAAGATAGACGGCATTGAAAGTGCCCTGGAGAACCATCGAAAAGCCAAGAGTGCTCAGGATGATGAGTCCAATGAAGATGCTTTGGATGCTTTCATGTCGCATTTGAGTACTTTGTTACTCAATAAATCAGAAATCGTCAAGATGAAATCAGATTTGGTACGTCTACAGAGGGAAGAGGAGGGATTGAGAAAACTCATTAATATCACTAAACCAGCGAATTTGCCTGAACTAAAAGCCACTCCAGAAGCGAAAAGTGAGGCGAAATGTGAGAAATCGCAGAAAATAGCAAAGCTTATGGTTCAAAATTCAGAAGAGATTACTTCTAAGGAAAAGAGTGTTTACAGTGGGAATCGTTATGGATTGATAAAGCCCAGCGAAGTTGATAAGCCACCTGCAGAGGATGTTCTAGAAGTTAAGGAGTCTACGGAACTCCAGGAGGAGAAAGTTAAAGGCATTGCAGAGGATATTTCGACTGATATTATTCCCAAGCAGAAGAAGAGAAACAGCAGGAAGAAAGCTGATAAAATTTTCAAGGACATCGGAAAGAATTACCCTGACAACTTGGATAGTGAAGACTACTCTATGTGGGTTCCTCCTGTAAATCAAAGTGGAGATGGTAAGACCAGCCTCAATGATAAATATGGCTATTGAATATTCATGGAATATTCATTCTGTAAGATAATGTAAATAGTTGTTTATTCATGATTCACTTTTGTGAGAACAGTTCAACATTTTTAATAATAAAAATTCAATAATTATGTCCTTAAAAAATGAATAAAAATTATGCTCGTGAGTTAGAAGTAAATGTCAATGATTTTATCTCAAGTTAAGTAGTCAATTAGTTTTTAGATTGCATTTATGAACCACCACAGCCACCTCCGCGACAGGCACTGCGTTTTGGGGGCTTGTAGTTCCTAGTTGTATCTCCCATCAGTGGATTGTATTCTGAAATAATTGCAAAATATATTGAAAAAAAAAATTCCTGATGAAAAGAGATAATTAATAGCTCAAATGCGCACCATTGTATTTAGGTTTCGATGTGGATGGTCCTGATTGAGTGTCCCCTAATCTGTATGGTCCGGTCGAATTTCTAAATTTTTCAAGTTCTCGAATTTTTTCGGCTTTCTCCTAAAAGATTTGATAAGTCACTCATGACATCCCTTAAACGTGTGGGGAAACTCAAACCCTTAAATAACTAGCTTACAGCTTCTTTTCGTCGTTCTGCTTCCTCAAGAGTCTCGTTGTACTTCGACTGCATTCGTTGTCTCGCTGCTTCAATTGCCCTCAATCGCTCCTCTTGTAGGTCAGGATCTATTGGAAAAATTAATTGCAATGGCAGTTGTGTATGATAAAGATAATAATCCAATACTCACTCTTTTTGTATTTAGAATCATACTCTTGCTTGTCTTTTTTGTTCTTCCAACTTTTGTATTTTTCTGCTATGTATGGAGAGGCGAAGAAAAGAGCCACTAAAACCCCCAGGATGTACCATCCAACCGACGCTATGGCAGCCCAGACTGAATAAATAAATATCAAAACAAAATTAATAATTCGAATAAGTATTAAACTTTCATCCCAACCAGCAATATTGACGGAGGAAATTATTCAGCAGAATTTCTTTATTGACATACACGTAATGAGTCTAACCTACAAAATAGGAATATTACTCCAAAATAAACTTTCTTCTTGTCGATAAATTCTAACGGATTAATTAACGAGAATTTAATTACCTATTGGCAGATATGAAGTTCTAGTGGGCAAAATGTCCGCTTCGTCCATTGTAATTCGACTGTTTTTGATGTGAAGCACTTGAAAACGTCAGTCTGCGTATTAAACGTCAGTTACTACTAGAGTCCATTCAAAAACTAAAGTAACTCAAGCGAGATATTGAGCATACGATAAGAGTGTTCCGCAGTTCTAGTAGAGAGGATAGACTTGAAAAAACAAAACCCAGAGAATTATTAAATAATTTGACTGTACGAAATAAATTTTAGAGAACAATTGAAATGGGAATTTTCTGTGGAAATTTTTGACAATTAGTAACTAAACATTTGGGAACCAAATACGTTTCTGGTAGTAATCAGAGATTATAGCGCTCTGGTTTCAATCAAATTTCATTGGTACAGCTGAATTTTCTTATGATATTAGTGTGAAAAGGAACATTTTCGTGCACGCTTTACGCGCAAAAAACTCCGTCTTCACTGTGTGTAAAGTGATATTGTACGCTCGTTTCGTCTTCGCGACACTCTCACACCTGAGTATTCTCCATCCATTTCATCCCTTATTCTCCGTGAGGACAAAATGAAAACATGGACGAAAGTCACTCCGGTGAGGGAAAAACCGAGAAAAAAAATATGAGGGAAGAGGGCGGGGAAGACAAGGGAATAATCTCGAGTCAGTGAAATTTTTAACATTACGTTTTATTTATCGTTTATTAGTGTAATATCCAATGATATATATACGTATATGTACCCACATCGCTGCATACATATACATATAAATATGTACACGTAGTACTTGACAATAGCGATTGTTATAAATTATCTACAGTCATGTGTTTTGGGTGTCTGCGGGCTGTTGATCTCATAATATTATGCCTTCATAATAATAGAACTCACAGTTCTCCCCATGATACAATCGCCCTATATTTCTTTTTCTTTTATAATAAATAAATTATAACCCTATATAAAACATTTACCTTTCGCCATTTCCACGATATTTACACTGTCTAGGGGGTAGAAGGAAAATGCATTATTCATTTCTTCATTAAATAATATAATTGTATGATAACACTCATCTCAGCCTTTAGTGTACACTTCCGAGCTAATCCGGCAACGCAATTATACAACCCAGTCTTCATGTTAGTTTGATGTATTTTTCACGGATATAATGATATGAATAACGTGGCTGTAGCTACAATGTCTACTTCTTCATCTCCATGCATGCCCAGTTACAATTTAATAGTACGTGTGCACCTAGGCTCCCTTCGAACAATTATTCAATCAAATGGCTTATTACAACGTTTATTTTACAAAACTATACGGGCCATTCTGTCAACTTTCGCGAGATTCATTATCAATTATAAAAATAATACATTTACTCGCACCCTGCGCTGGCAAAATGGCTCGATGTTCTCCAGCAATAAACTCTCACCTCAATTATTCTACAAATCACTAACTAAGATGTTCGATAACGAGTTGTGATTTATTCCTTCATTTCATGGATGGATTCTGCACAGTTGTTGATTTCAATACAATTGTCGAGTATTTGGCAGAGTAATTAATGATCATTAATTTTTCTTTTATTTTTTATTGCCGGATATTCACAAGTCTCGGAAGTGTGGCAGTGATAATAAAACATTGCCAATGACAATACTCGACTCGATTGTATGGGATTACTCAACTCTATCAGCCAATTTAACATTACCTAGTTCTAGTATATCGACTAATTACATTTAATTTGAGCGATTACATGGCATCGGTATCTACTTGTCTTATGTGAACGTCACCGAAAATAAGGAGTAAGAAAACAATGTACAAGTTTTATATTAAACCACACTAGATTGAATTAGCTAATCTAGATTAAATATAGTACGTCTTATATTCTGTATTCACAAGTGTTTATCTACAGTTGAGAAGGTTATTAACGCGGGCAAGTATTTGTCTCAGGTAAAAAAATGCAACGGAAAGTCTCAACGTATTAATCACGAGATTTAATGAATGAGGGTTTAGTGATTGATACTTTACAATTGCCCTACTTCTTCGACCTCTCAGAGGCCCTCTGGAAGCATCAGAAGTTTATGAATGCACCTTCGAAACATTAATAAGCAGCGAGTGAAAATCAAACGCTTTTTAAATCACATTCTCACTTATTTGTCAGGATTTAAACGCAGTGTGGCCTTACCTTAGCGAAGTTTTCCTAAATCATCGCTCTATTTATCCCCCTTACTTATCGATTACCAGACTTAATTCTACTATTAATTAATCTAGTGACTAATCCCCATTAATTAACTTTTTACAATTCTTTACAAAAAACACCACTTGATATGATAATGCACCTTCATTATTCTCAAACGTACTATCAGTGAGTTATTTCATTTGTTTCTTCTGGAAGAGATACTGTACGATTAATTCATATCGAATAACTTGTATTTTTGTTCTCTTATGAGTTAGGAACGTTATATCGAAAATAATGTCAATTATTTGTCTTGACGAGGGAGAAATTTTACAAGCTAGTGAAAAATAAATGCCGCATTTTTTTTTTTTCATATGACATTTATCAAGGAATCAATGGCAATTCCCTTGTCAGGTTCAATATTGGCTCACTGTGGCTTGTCGCTTGTGGCTTGTCTGAGGTGAGAATAGTGTGTCATTTATGTTTGGTGAAAATAGGGTGGTGTTGGTTTAGTTGAATACTCCATATTGCTTAGCTATCTCGATGGTCGCTCAGTCTAGTTGTCTCGGTTGGACCGTTTGGATTGAAGAGGCTGTTGAGCTTGTTGTACCTCTGGCTTCCTGAGCTCGACATTGTATTCGAAGCTGATGAGTTGTGTTGGTTATACCCAGGCCTCGGAAAACTAGGCACTTTGTCTGCAATGATACAACAACCCAGTGATTACTCCCATTGCCATCGTTCGTATCCAAGAATCACAATTATAATCACATTACAATGACAATAATGTGCAGCCGTTCACATGAGAAAGTCCCTTGCTAGCAATATGGAGATAAGTACATAGGTGAATTCCTTGTGAAATTCTGCACTTTTTTACTCCAAATAAAACTCTTCAAGTTGAAAATTCGCGGATTTATGAAAGTTCAAAGTTTTAAACTAGAGGCGCGCACATGATACCTTTTCATATAGACGACTACATATTGAAATTAACTTATGAAAGTCATACCAATTATGAAAGAATAAAATTAGTACCTTTACTGCGATTATGCCTGAGTCTCTCCTGCGAGTTTGCTGGGCCGCACTGTCTCTTCGGAATACACGAGTAATTGCTGTCACTGCTGTACGTCGGCGATGACGTTCGATTAGTTCTCCTCCGTGGGCTCCTGTTGTTTCTGCTCCTGGAGCTATTCCTGTGCCCACAGCCAGTACCAAACTGATTATTATACTCCATCGTATCAGCATAAAGGCAACTGGACTCTGAGCACGAGCAGCACAGTTCAGAGTGAGTATTAGAATCACACGATTTTCTGTCCCAATCCTCATTATCCGGCTGATAGAGATTGTCATTTCTAAATATTTCATCATTGTGCCGATAATCATCACTGTGAGAGCTGTGATTCGGAAGATTTGGATGGCTGTATCCACCGTCATGTGATCGATAATCATCTTTAACACCGTTTTGATGTCCATAGATGACAGATCCACTCTCGTACTCATTCTCCTGATTCTTGTAGTCGTAGTGGCTGAAGCCCTGGGGAAACGATGGCACCGGGGGTGGATTGGTTTGAGGTGGTAGAGTGGTATACCTTGCCTGATGATTCACGTGACTATCGTGCTGCTGGACGCCATTCCATGGAGTCGGTGATGATGAAAAATTGTTAGCCACTCTGACAGGTGGGGTCGGTGGACTCTGGGAATTGGTTGAATTCGTGGCGTCCAGGTCGTTTTGTACATTCCTCTTGCCTAGGTGAGGACTGAATGCAGCTATTTGTTGCTGCATTCTACTGGATAATGACGTTCCAGTGGGTGGTGGGTGCTCGGGGGGTGGTGGAAGCATGTCACACCAATTTGGCATCGTCTGACTCTGTTGATTATCATTGGTTGGCATTCTGTACTGGGGTCGACGCTGGATATCTGCATTCTCATCGGTATAGACACTGCTTGCGTTGTCACTACTCGGTGATAACGTTGACTGATTGTGATCCTGGTTAGAGTCGAGATTCGAGTAGTCTGGTTTGACGCAGGAGTCACTTGAGTTTGACTTTTGACCACTTCCGTCCATGGAGTCAGGACTTCTGTTGCCCACACAAAGGGTTGTTGTAGCGTAGGGCTCCGGTGGGGCCTGAACTGGTTTTCTGGCATTATAAAAAGTCGTAAGATTGACCTCAGCGTACTCAGAGCCCGCCATGCTCACGATTCCAGGGGCTAGCATCTGCTGATTATTCAAGAGCTTCGTCTCGCAGTCTTTATCAGTCCCTGATCCCTGAAGGGTATTCGTTGGTCTCCAGCCTCTCTCCAGCCACAAACTGTCCTTGTTTAATTGACAGATATCACTGGCTGTGCCAACAGGCACATTGAGATGGCCCAACTGCTTGCTCATTGCCTGCCGTCTGCGAACGTAGAGAACACCAGCCAGTCCAGCCAGAATAGTGAATACCATTGTGATCATTAGGATGAGGAACCAAGTCTCTGAAACTATCGATATGCCGCCGTGACTTGGGTCGGTTTTTGGAGGCAATTGCGTCAATTGTCCGGGATCCATGTTGAGAAGAGTGGGATTTGAAAAGGGGCCCAGTCCTGCTCTCGTGGATGCCGCTACTCTAGCTGTGTAGAGCCCACCAGTTGTCAAACTATTGATTATAACTGACGTCGTCGAGGCATTGAGGGACATCTGTCCGAGAATTTTATTGCTGCTGTTGCTTTTTATTTGAATCCTGTATCCAATCAGCTCTCCATTCTGGTCGCTCTTCGGTGGAGCTTCCCACCTGACGAAGGCGGACGTCATGTTGATCATTCCCACGTGAACATTCTCCGGGGATCCTGACGGCACGTCCTCCAACGTCGTCGAGAGTTTAACATTACTCGGTCGTCCTTCTATTGTCTTGTAGAAGGGGACGAGGAAAAACTCATACATCGTGTATTTCTTTAAATTTGTCAGAACGTAACTTGTCGCACCAGCATTCATAACAGTGACCATCTGATACTCAGGCTTGTCAGATATCTCGCGATATCTGATGTAGAGCCCCTCAACAAGATCCCCAGCTCCCAGGATATCCCAAATAATTTTGACACTCGTGCTCGTCAGGGGCTGCACCTCCTTGAGATGTAAAATTTCGCTGTTGAGTCTGTCTCTCGCTCGAATCAATTCAATCTGTGGTACTGAGTACTGATTTTGACTGGTAGTATGGGCCACATCGGAGAGAGGACCAGGCAAGGAGAGCCCCTGGCTGTTCTCCGCCCTCACGAGGAAAACGTACTTAGTGTCTGGCTTCAATTCTGGGACAGTGTAAGTGTCGTCAGTAACTCCCGTGGCAGCTACAACCCACCCAGTGTTGAGATTGCTACTGAAGTACTCAATGTTGTAGCCTATTATTTTACTCTTGCCCTCGTGCCCTGGGCTCCAGGTTAATGTCACTGAGGTACTGGTGATGTTGACAATTCTTGGTTTACTGGGATTTTGGGGGAGTGCGGACATATCAGGTGTTTTATGGAGAGTAGTCGATGCACTTATAGCCAGAGTTGCTGACCAGGATGTATTTCCGGATTCTGACGAGGCAATGCATGTGTACAGACCCGAGTCTGCTGACTGTAGCTCGTCAATGATGAGAGTTCCATTGCTCGACATGGTGATTCGATTACCCAGTGAAATGAGAACACCGTCCTTGTGCCAGTGGACACGGGGTGTGGGTGTTCCAACAGCACGACAAGGTAAATACGCAGTGCTCTTTACTGGAAGGGTTTGATTTGCCGGGCCGAGTTCAATTATTGGTGGTGGCACCTCCTCAATTGGCATTACTTGCAGGAATATTGTTGCTGTACTAGCACCCGCAAGGCTTATGGCACTGCACACGTAGTGGCCTTCGTCCTTCTTATTAACTTGCTTTATGTGCATTGAGCCGTCCTCGTTTATGGTGTATCGAGATTGGTAGACATTGCCCGGAAACATGAGCTCTTGTGATCCTTCTCGGGACCAGAATATTGCGGGCTTCGGTGCCCCACGGGCAGAACATGCGAATGATACGTCTGAGCCTGTACTCACTATCTCGTCCTTTGGGAAATCCGTGAAAACTGGACGCGCTGGAGAACAAGTAAGAAACAAACTAATTAATTCCAGTATTTCTCAAATTGATTATTTATAAACTAATTCAGATAATTTCACTGATTGAGTAAATTTCCCTTTTGATTTGTCTGCCTAAATTTTTTTTTTCAACTTTTCAAAATTATTTGGAAATGATTGCATGCTCAGGAAACTTTGTGAATTATGAATTAACGATAAAATGCGGGAATTCATTTACATTGGATCTTTTAAAATCCAGAAATAATGAATTGTTTACTTACAATGCACAGTAAGTGTTGCACTCGCGGAAATGGCGCCGACTCCGTTTTCAGCATCGCAAATGTAGGTTCCAGCGTCTTGCGGTGTAACGCGTTCAATTTTAAGGCTCTTATCATCAAGAATATGTGCGCGACCAATGGGCATTTTTCCATCGTGCCTGCGCCAAAGAATTTCCGGTGGTGGATCACCGCTGACATGACAAGCAAATTGAGCGGTTGTATCAACCAACACTGTCTGATTCTCTGGGGTCGAGAGGAATGAGGGCTTGACGTGAACTGTCAATGTTGCCACTGCCGACTCTTTATCACCCGCCACATTGTGAGCAATACACTGATATTTTCCCTGATCCGTCTGCCTGACGTCGGATATCATCAGGTTTCCACCGTCAACCAGAGTTATCCTGGAAAAAGCCAGAATCATTAATCAAATTATAGTTTAACTATGGATTTATTGACGTGTTTGAGGGTGCCCCGATGTGCCCGATGGTCGGACAATATCGACAGTCTACTCTATCTCACTGATACAATGCTCCACAATACAGTACCAAATCGCAATTAAGCGGCTCCGTTGAAATTCAACGGAATGCCACACAACACAGTATGTATTGGTATAGTATCCCTGACACGACCCTCAACAACACCGTGAAAATCGATGGCTTCTCGATTGTGTCCTTTAATTTATAGTATCAATTAATTCGATACTGACACACCAGAAAATGCCGCCTGTGCCACTCCTCCACCCCAATTCAGTTCGATCCCGTCACGATTTGATCAATTTCTCTGGATATCACTAATTCATAAAATGGCTCTCAATTGAATATTTAAGGACCCTCCTAGCTTTTCCTCTTTCCGTAATTTTTTAAAATTCAACAGACCAGAAATAGATAAGTTAAATAAACCGATCGATTATTTGTGAAAAATTGGGGTAAACGTGAAATATGTATGCAGATGACATTTTTAATAGCTGCAAGATGGTTATTCTCTTAATGGGGTAAAATTTTTAATTAGGTTTACACAGTATTACGTTGGAGATAAAAATGTTTTTAAAACTGAATTGCAGGAAAAAGCGCCAAGGGAAAGACCACATGTATGTCAAGTAAACAAGACGACCAGCGGACAGGTACGCTTCATGTCCAAGGTATAGCTTACGAGGAAATTAAATAGACGTTGCCAAGAGGTAAAGGAAAAATAAGCTCATTAAATTAAAGTAAACATCATGACTTGGTCAATTTTCTTTTTAAGGCGGTAATAAATGAGCTCAACGAGTATAAATAATTGGGTGAATTAACTTGGATGAAGATTGTCGTTTGGTAATTTGTCCCCAATAACGTGTGAATGAGCAGTGGCTTGGACCCTTATCACCGTAATCTGGAGTACCCAAAAGAGGATGGAGTTATTGAAAATTTTGTACATGGAGTTGAGAAGAATCTAAATAATGAGTTCGTCTCGTCCAAGCAAGGTTGGACTGTAGATAACGCAGCAAGAATTATGGGAGGACATCCTTTAGCGCCATTCTCATGCAAATGCGCGGTAGATTATGGGTCCTTGTGTCTTCGGATTATTACCATTGGTCCGTGGTGCACACGGTACTTTCAGTACCAAGTACCATTCTTATTGGCCCTCGGCTAACGTTCAGGGGATATACTGGGGGGGAAAAGGATCCCCAGGAATTCCATCGTGGTGTAAAGAAGACATGGGAATTAATCGCTGGAAATTATTCAACCCTTTTACATTCATTCCTGGTCTCGTTAGAGGTGTACTCTTAGTGTGTCGATCATTTTTATTTTTATGATAAAATTGTCAATGACACTTACCTCTTTGTCGACTCAAAGTCTATGAAATGACCATTTCTCTTCCACTTGAGAGTTGGCTCTGGATGACCTTTTGGTGGGCCGCACTCAAGTAAAGCTGTTTCACCAGCAGCTACTCTTGTATTTTGAGGCTGGGCACGAAATTCATCTCGCAGGACTGCAACAAAAAAAAACCAATCCGTTGTAAATACCACTTGCTACATTTCACAATAGATCTTCCGAATAATAACTGAACGCAATTTATACCGAGATAAAAAATACTTTAGCCATGTAAATTTGTTTAAGTTAAAATTTTCAAAAGTGTGATCAATCTATTTTTCGAATGGAACAACAAGTGGAAAAAAATGATTGCTATTTCCATCAATACAAATCAAAATTGGCGTGAATGAATGACACGATTCCTGAAGGCCTCGACCCAAAAGCTCAATCTCTCATGTCATCTCTGCAAGTTCTATTGCTTTTCCTTTTGAGGTACATGTAGCGTGTATTGCTGAGCGTTGCCGAGCATGTATATATCTATGTATTCTCTCCACACAGGTACAAAACTCTCATCCGAGCATTTCAACTCGAATTCGCCTTTGGCTCCATTCGACTTCTCTGGGTTCGTGTTTATCGCTATTCTCAGCGTCCTGACGTATACCATTACCATTTATCACGAATGCGACTCTCGGACCATTTACGAAACACGCGTTGCTGCGAACGGTCCGTCTCTTAAGAATTGCAGAATTTCACGCCAAGATCGCTTTCCTCAATGCCTCCTATCCCATATATCACGCCTAATCGAATATTTTCCCGTTATTTTTATTTTTCACATAAATTTCCCACCCCCCGGAAAATCCAGCCGATTCATTTATTTTTCCATTTACTTTATCGACTCGTTTTTTTTTTCATCAATGGAGAAAAAATTGCTTCGCTTACAGAGAAGACTGCATTGCTGCTCCTATATTTATTTGACCCGGAAATGCTTGATCGGACATATTGTCGTGTTTTAATTAACGTCAGACTCTCCCTGAGGATTATTAATACACCAACTTCCATGGAACGTACGAGAATTCAATTCAGACAATGTCCCCTTCATCTTTTCATTCCCTGTGGCGCGTTTCCCGAGCTTTATTCTCGCGAATTAGATATGGCACACGTCAACGGAACCAAAAAACAATTCTCATTGGCTGTCAATACTTGTTATTTCGTTTGTTGAGGGCTTTATTCAATGGAATTGAATCCCTGGGAGGTCCATAACAAAGCGGCAAACGGACCTTCGAGGAATAATAAAATATCTGAATAATGAGTCTTGAATTACCTAATGAATTGGTGGCAGAAATAATACTTTTGTCTTCTGAAATTCCTCTTATTATGGGGCAGGATAGGGTGATATGGACACGTAGGGTAAAATCGACACTTTCTTTTTTTAATTTTTTCCCATAAGACGGGATGATTCAACTCAGTAGAGAAGTGATTAAGGGAGATAAGTGCATTTGGCTCTTGGCTCAGTCTTGGATGAATATAGCAGAATTTAAGAGAGATAGTGAAATTTATCTAACCATTCCCATTTACTACCCCACTATTAAACTCAATTTGAAAATGAGTTTCCCATAGATAGCTCGACATCGACATGAATTAAAAAAAAAAATTAAATCCATCGTGTCCCTTTTTTATTCTAAGACCATTTAAACGCTGTCTCATGCCAACGATAATCCATTTCTACATAGATACTAATATTTGACTAAAAAATTGAGATGAATAATTTCATTGTTAATGAAAAAAGATGCAGAAATCCCTTTGAAACAACTTTTTCACATGGGTAATTAGTAAAGTACAATACAAAGTGCAATAATGACATTTAGTGTGGGGCTGTCTAGAAAGGCTGAATAAATAGACATGCGATAAATTACTGGGTGGATTCGCGATGTATATAAGTCACACCGCAAATAGGAGCTACTACTTCGTTCTATCCTAGTAAACATCGTACATTCGGGACACGCGCCAGTCGTGACGTACGACCGACACGTGACCGTTTCGTTGTGCCAGTGTACACCGGAGGAAATGTTATACCGGAAAATCGGCTTCGAGTGTCATACGGACATCAGGGCGGAAGAGATTCGCACTGGGTCATGGCCGATTGTTTCCAGAGAACTGAAAGTTTGCTATTGCATTGTTGCAGGAAATTCAATGTGCTGAGCTTTGTCTAGGAGTCGACACGACTCATCACCGAGTGATAGATAATGATTTGGCCACGTGTTACCGTTTCAATTCCCACTGCTAACGACAGTTGAAATGTCCAGGGCAACTTCACCGATTCGTTCTGCCGCATTTATCTTCCTGAGATGCGATGATTACTGCCAGAACATTCTTGGGAATGAATGGGCAGAATCATGAGCTATTCTAGTCTGGAGATAATTGATCATTGATTGCAATGGGGAACGAGTTTTGTCGGTGATCCTGGAAGCCTCAAAGAGTTTTCTTCTCCTCCAGTTTTATACGGAAATTGAAATCTGCTATCGATTTCCCGTGGAATCATTAAGGGAACTCTTTTTCCTTCAGCAAATTTTCCAAAAGAAAGATTCTTTGATTTGAACTTTACCAAGTGTAAAGTTGATAGGTTTCTGGATAAATAGTAAGCAAAAATATGTATATTGGATTTTCAATGGAGCAGTGAATTAGCAATGGCAAAATGAAAAGCCAATTAGTATGAAAACCGAGCGATTTGTTGAATGACGTGATTACATGAAATTATTTGACTTGTAGTGTCAGCCACTCTGAAGACGTCAGCTCAGTTAGGTGGCAGTCAACTTTGGCCATTAAGTAAATTCGAGAGTCGAATCTGCAATTTAATCCACGGACGAGTAAAGTCAATGGGGTTGTGGTTACGTATAATCGTGGAACCGAGACAGATATTCAAATATCCCCGTGGAGTCTCACGGGGACGAGAGGCTTCAATGGTGCTCCAGGGTTTGCCTACGTGTTGGTACGTAACTCCAATGTGCCAACACACTTGTATTCTCTCGGTGCAGATAGGTAGAAGTGTAAGTCCAATGAGACCAACTCCCAGGCTGCACTAATCGGTGTTAGTCACGTATTCGATGAGTTGGACTGCACTTTGAATTTGTACCGAAAACTAGATGGCAACCACCTTGAAATACCGAAGTTTCTGTATACCCAGTCGTACAGCTCCTAAGATGCCAAACGCGAATGGATTCACTTGGTGCAGTCTCGTAGAGCAATCCATGTAATCATTTTTTCAATTAACTGTTTTTGCTCAAGATTTGCGACCTTTAAATCATTCAGCAAACACCGCTCGTTATCACAATGAGTTCAATGAAAGACTATAGAAATGGAATCAGTTGGTTCGATAAATAATTTTTGTCTTCCAGTGCGCAAGATAAATCGAAAGGGTTTTCATCCATCCTCGGAATCTTCTCAACTCCCATTTAATCATCAATAATGGCTCTCAGATGTCTTGATGTTCTTGGCGGACTGTTCGATGGAGCATAAATTCGAGGAATATTTAAGCTAGTCTAGGCGGCAAACTTATAACCCCGAGATCTCATCAGACGGTAGACGATGGGGGACAGTCAACCCCAGTCAAGCTAATGGAACCGAGTGCTGTACTTCAGGGGACGCCTTCATCAACATGTATAGTTAACGAGTCGATCTTGATATTGACGCTGCATGGGGAACGGGAATTGAAGAATCTATCAGTGGCAGAGTGGAGAATATGTGAGGAATTAATGAACGGAGATCTGTCATAATACTCCAGATAATTCACATCAACCCAATCGTTTGAGCATGAGATTTATCGTGAATTTTGGAAGGGTGTGGCAGAACATTCGCAACTTTTCCACAGGAAATCTGCAGCGTGATACCAACGAATTACATTTTCACAAGCCAATATTTTGTTTCCCCAACATCACATACTCCAATATTTTTCCAGTGATTTTTTTATCCAGCCAACTCATCCAAATTTTGTAACCACTGCTCTGCTATTCGAAAGCCCCACAAACCCATGATAATTGTTGATGCGTAATGTTTAACTTAACAGTGAAAATAATTTACCACGAAACACGAGGAGTGGCATACAATTAATTTCATTTAAACAACCGAGTGGGCGATGGGATTTAACCAGCAGAAAGCGAGTATTTGTGTGCATTGGGGAAGTGTACACTATCAAAAGCCCAACTCCACACCGCGCTTAGGCCAAAATATTTAATCATAATTCAGGTGTTGGTTAATTAAGCCCATTTTCACCGATAGTTAACTCGTATGAAATTCCCGTTGCGAGCTAAAATTGTGCAAATAAAAGGAGGGAAAATATTAGCTGAGAGTAGAATTGAGGTGTTAGCCAGAGGATTAAAGCACGGGTTAATGGCGCTACCGAGTCTAAGTTATAGGCAATTAAGATTAAATCCGATGATTCCAAAAATTATACGAAACGGATGGAGAACCGGTATAAATAGTCTAGTTATTATTACAATTGGAAGTTGAAATTAATTGCAATGGATGATACTGATACTAAGGATTCTTCAACACCACCAGCTGTCCGGTGAGAAGGGCTTTCCTTATCGTTGCACACACAAATCCTTAAGCTGTGCCTTCTCCAGATTGTTGGTACGTCGTTAAAATGGACAGATAATAGTCACGATGTTGCCAACGAATATAAAGAGTGAACGAGAGCCTGAGGTAAATTATGGTGGCATTCTCGAGGCCTTTCTAAATTAGTGCTGTAAATTTATCTAGGGTGTTTGTCGGAGCGTTGGGCCTCCCTCGATTTACATAGGAATGATAGTGTAAGTAGCGCTTATTTATGCCCCCATATAGGGCACCGCACGCGATTTCGTTTTGACACGATAGCCCTCTTTGGTAGGATTACCAATAGCTTCCTCATTGGTCACTCGCGATGCTAACTAATAATTTTTACACTCGGTAAACATTCGGTAAGCAGCGATAATTCAATTATTGGTAAATTGGGGTCTACCGCTGAAAATTCCGATAATAAAACTCGAATTCTAGTCGATGGAAGCAGTTAATCTTGAGTTGTACTAATAAATGACGAAATTCCACATTTTTAAGGGTGAATTTTTCCGTTCTTTTGGTAATTTTAAAACAAAGTGACCGCTGACGGCAACCACGTATAGATATGCTGCCCAATCTTTGTATTGT